CCAGGCACCTTGGATACAATATTTGCTTATTTACAAGAATATAGAAAGTCGGCTTCCTTGAGCAAAGGAAGACTTGAAGAACCAGAGAGCCTCTTACCCCAACCCAGGCATTGTCCCCCTCCCGTCCCTCTCAGACTCCCCACAGGGTGATGCACCAAAGCTATTCAGTCTCCTTCCTCAGATCAGCATTTTCCAACACTTGAGTTTTGGTGGCAGTATCAGCTATGGAAAATACCTCACCTCTCTGCCCCTGCTCCATGCTACAATACTGTGGGGTTTGCAGTGCAGAAAACATAACTCTTTGAGAAGTTCTGCCAAAACCAGGCTGCCTTCAGCCCACAGCCTACCTCTGTCCTTGAGCTTCGACTTGGCTTTTCCATAAGAATCATTGCCTTTAGGTTTTCCTGCCCCAGAGAGACTCTGCAACATGTCTCACCTCTGTTTTAGGTGGAGATGCATGTTGGCTGGTTAGTGGCTGCTGCTATTTCAATAATTTGTTTCCTTTAAGGATCTAAACTGAAGTAGTGAAATGTGCCAGCTCCACTGGTCGGGCTCACAAAAGGTACTATCTTTTTTTTCCTTAAGATGAAAACTACTTTCTTTATGCCTTGTTTGAGTAGAGGATACACATTATTACTTACTATAAAGTCTATTGCCAAAAAAGAGGACTTTGACTACAAATACAGTACATACTCTTCCTACCCTGTGAAGTATGTAGTTAATGGATGTGGCCAGAAAGAGTGTGAATCATCATGCCTCTCTGCTAAGAGGGTTGAAGGCATAATGGCAAAAGTGAGCCTTAAAATGACTTTCAAATAATAACAGGGAGAGATCTTATTAGACATTTAGATGAGATGCAGTCCAAGAGATGATAATTGTTGATAACTATAACTGGTGAGGGCAAAAGAAGGTGCTGCAGTGGACTGGAGGGTGTAGGACACATGGAGAAAATGTAGATAATAATAACTTCCAGAAGTCTTCATAGCCTAGTTGCATATGATAGAAGGCAAGTATCCCTATCATTTCCACCACATTGATGAAGAAACCTGAAAAAAGAGGTCTGACACATGTCACAGCACAGCAGAAGGTTAGAATCACAGGCTCATTCAACTTTGTTTGCGTTTCTAGCCATGGTTAATATCACAAGTGAAAGAGGCAAGAGTTACCGGTCCTTGGGCTTCTGACACCCTGTGATTTGGCCCTGGCCTCTTGTAAAATTCAGACCATTTTTCTGCATCACTTTGATGGCGTTTGCATCAGCTGAAGACTTGAGAGTGAATTTTTGGCCAGAGTAACCTTCACAGGGCCTGAGTCCTTTCAGCAAGCTGATTAACAGTATGTGGTAGGTAGCCTGCATGTATTTCAAATGAATGAAATTGTTTATCAGGTTGTGGAAATAAAATGCAAGACTGGAAAATTGTTAGGTAGAAATAAAACTAGTAAGTGGCCAAGAAAATGCATGCGTTCCCATAATATTTTATGACTCCAATGAGACAGTAAGATCACAAAAATGCAAGGGGGTTAAACACATACTCGGTCGGCATCTTTATTCTCTAAGTGCAATTGCCATTAATTACTTTTCTCTCAAAACTTAAATATGGAAAACAGTAACCCTATATGTCACACAAGAAGGAATAAGACGTGTTTCGATAAAAGCCTTTCTTTAAAGAAAGGCAAATACATGTCTCCCATTTTCTGCTGAAGAGTGGCTGCTGCGCAGTGACTCTGCCCATGCTGCACACACATGAAAAACTTGTCAGATGCAAATGCCCACTCTCTATGTAGTTTTAAAAGTGCACGACAGACACAATTTGTAGGGCAACTATCAAAGGTGCCAATAATAAAAGATACTTTCATCTGGAAGATGTCTGTGTCCTTTGGGACTATCTGTCATTCCTCCACATCCACTTTACATTCCACACCACAGATAATCTTGCCTGTCCGCCTCCTGTCCGCCTCGGCACACCACTGGTCTAATGCAAACATTTATTTTCTATTCCTGAGCATTTTCCGGCAAAAACTTTTTTGGAGCCATACAGTTACAGCTGATTATTACTCACCCAGCTTTCATGAACAGCAGATTTAATGGCTGGCTGGCATTACGCTGCTGTAACAGGGATGCTCGGGAGGGTACCCGGGAGGCGAGAGGACATATGTATGCATGTCCTGCCACCTGAGCTGAGAAGGAGATTAAATTGTGGTGGGCTACCGACTTACCCACAGGCCACACCAGAAGTCCTAGGTGTCAGGATTTAAAGCCGTGCCACAGTTTTACTTTTCACTCTAAAAGAGGGATGTTGTACTTCTGTATTTACTGGGTTAAGATTCTTTTTTCTGGAACAGGATCATACTCGTGGGGCAATAACAAACTGATCCTGGGTGTGCGGTGTTAGGAGTACTTCTACCTTTCATCCTCCTGAAACTCAGGACCTGGCGTCAGTATGTCAGCTTCAAGCCCTTTAGATGTAGGACTTTCGGCACAGGCTCATTTTCCACGAGCAGGCAGTGACAGGCACATAGGGTTTTGCGTGATTTGAATATTTTAATTAAGTTGGAAGCGTGGCACCAGTCAGACCGAAAGAGAAAACTAGAACCAAACTTTTAATGCTTGCACCTACGGGACGGTGCACGCAACCCTTAGCCCAGCAGAAGTTGAGGACCCCTAACCAAGCCCTTGCAGAATCCGCCTGAAGCCAGGGTCTGACAAAGTGCTGAGAGCCTCGGAGGCTGATGGAGTGACACACAGTTTGTGGGCAGGCCCACACCAGCAAAAATCATTCTACAGCAAAGGCAGAAAATACCAGTCAGAATGAGCAGAAGTCAAGTGCTTTCCTTGCTTAAATGGAAGCAATGCAAGGCTCATATAAAAAAAAAAAAGCGGGGTTAATCTGGCAGTTCTCTTCCTAGAAGTTTCGCTTCCTTAGGATATGTGGTTATTTCAGGTTACCACAGCAACTGTCAGAAGAGAAAGCATTTTATTTTCTTGTTTTGTTTTTAGACAGAAGAACTGGGAAGACCACCGTGTACTGGAACAAGAGGAGGGATTACAAAATCCTGCGCTCAACAAAAGGAGCTGTGTGGAGATCTTCCTGCAGTACAAAGGTTCACAACAATTCCTTTCCTATGAAGCCACACTGAATACTCTGAACAGCTAATATGGGGTACTCGGGAGATGTCTAGCCTGACAGTGACGTGAAAACCCTTTTTGTGGTGATCCAAGGTGAAGGGGGGGCGGCTCTGCCACACGCTTTGCTCCGGGCAGGGGTACACAGCTCTCCTTGGAAAGTGTGTGCCTTCAGGTTGGGTTTTTTTGTCTGGTTGTGTATCACAGCTACAGGCCCAGTGCTGTTCTCAGTGAAGTTGGTTTGGTAGGCTTTCAGTGCTGAGTGCCTCAGGAGCTGCTCCAGCGTCTCAAGTACCAGCAGTTCTGTTTTGAAAAATGCAGGTTTTGCTAAAGAAGCATCCACAGGTGCTGTAGAGAGAGGCTGCAGTGAACACGCACGTGCCTTTCTGTTTGGAGAGATGGGGCTCAGTTGTTTGCATTCTTTACATATGACTGTGCTTCAAAGTGAACTAAAACCAGTTTTGCTGTGTAGAAGTTAAATCAAGAAAATACGCAATTACATATTTGAATAGGGAGATTGGGACATCATTGCATTTGTTGGTTTGTCGTTGGTTTACCGCAGAGACGTGTGGCATATTATCTATTGAAGAGAGTGTGATTTAGTTATTTAATTATGCATTTTATGGAAAACCTTTAAGTATCTTTCACCTCTGTGCCCCCCACCCGCCCCCCCCATAATGTTATTTGACTGTCTCAAGCTGATCCAGCCGCGATGTTCTGCAAGGCCCACTTTTTGGCTGAGACCCTTAACAGTGGTCTCGTCTCTGGGCTCTGCTGATTTTCCTGAGCAGTTACACAGCAGTGTAACCCGCAGTGTTACCTTGTGAATTCCTGGCCTCCTGAGCCACACACAGATGTCACGCTGGCGAAAACCAGCTTAAATCTGGTAATAGGTAGCGTGAGTGCAATGGCCTCTGACCTCCCCAAATTATACAAACAGGAAAGGTCCCTTCTGCCCCTGGGCCACGGCATGACCCTGGCAAGTTGCCCACCGCCTCTCTCTGCTCCACCAAGCCCCTCTGCAGCAGAAAGCCCGGTGCCAGAGGCCACTGCCTTCAAGCAGAGGCCCATCCCAGGTGATGCATGCCACGTCTCCGTGCTGTCATTCTCTCCACCTTCAGTATGTATATCTTAACCCTGCAGCTTCTGGGCATTTTCAGGCAGCCGGGTATATCTCCCACACACTTCCCTGTCCTATGGTGCGTCTCTGGTTTTGCCCGATGACTGCCAGCTCACCACTGCCCAGCTCTCTATGCATTAAGACGGTGTGGGGGTCCCTGTGGAAAGGAAGGGCTGTATCTGCAAGCACCAGCCTCCCGATCTCCCCATCTCCCCCCAGTATGCGATGCTGCTGGAGGCTCCCTCAGGGCTGGCGTCCCACCAGACTATTAAGAAAAGGCTGAAGGAGCCCCAGGCACGAGCAGTTTACTCCCTTTCTCCTGCTTTTCCTCTCTGTAACAGACCTCTCCCCCTGGAGATGCCGGCACAGCTGCCGGGGGTCTCCCTTCAGGCTTCCCAGGGCAGAGGGGGAGGCTTTTCAACCGCGTGGGGTGCCGGGGCTGACAGCCTGGCATGGCGCAGCTGGAGGCGGTGTAAGCAATTCCCTCCCTTCTTCCCTCAGCTGGCCGGCTTGGAAATTCGGATTATTTAAAAAAAAAAAAAAAAAAAAGTTTTAGGGTCACTGGGAGGGGAAAAAAAATTCCTCGTCACGTCTGTGGCGTCTGCGAAATCGTCCCGAGAAGGAAGAGGAGGATCCCGGCGCGGGGACCGCGGGGGTTTGGCGGAGGGGGCGGGCGCTGCCTGCGGGGCCGGAGCCGGGGGGGCCGCAGCGGCCGCCGACGTTCCCGCTCCCCCCCGCCCTGGACGGGAGGGGCTCCGGCGGGGAAGAAGGGGCCGAGCCACCCCGTTCCCCGCCCCGGGAAGGGGTGAGAGCCGCTCTGCTCGGTGGCGGGGGCTCAGCCGGAGCGGGGACAGGGGTGCCCGGGCCGTCCCCTCGCTGCGGGCCGCCGTCTATGAGGCGCCGGCGGGCACTCCCTCCAGCGCCGGGAGGAGGCTCAGCCCCGGCGGGCAGGGCAGGGCCGGGACGAGGGGGTGGCCGTGCGGCGGGTGGCACCCCTCTTCTCTCTTCCTCCTCCTCCTCTTCCTCCTCCTCCTCTTAACTTGGCCGCAGCGGCGCGGGGCGGTGCGCTTCGCCCTCCGCCGGCGGTGGGGGATGCGCGGGCGGCGGCGGGATGGCCTCGGCCGTGTTTGAGGGCACCTCGCTGGTGAACATGTACGTGCGGGGCTGCTGGGTGAACGGGATCCGGCGGCTCATCATCAGCCGGCGGGGCGACGAGGAGGAGTTCTACGAGATCCGCACCGAGTGGTCGGACCGCAACATCCTCTACCTGCACCGCAGCTACTCCGACCTCGGCCGCCTCTTCAAGCGCCTCCTCGACTCCTTCCCCGAGGACCGGCCCGAGCTGTCCCGCTCCCCCTTGATCCAAGGTCTGAGCCTCGGCTCTTCGCTGCTGGGCTGGCGGGCGGGAGGGCTTCCAGCCGCCGCCGCTGCTTCCCCCCGGGATGGCGGTGACGGGGCGGGCGGTGTCCCCCGG